AGGCTGTGCTCTGAGGAAAATTGAATGGAGCCCAGTGCTTTGAAACTGTGAAATCCAGGGTGCCCAGCGTTTGCTTTGTATGAAAAAACTAAAATTCCTGAGTTGCCCAAGAACAAAAGTGGTGCCAGGGGCCACCATGCACTGCTAGACCACAGCCTTGCACCTGTTCACAAGAATCTGTTTTTTAGTTGTGTTCTTCCTTTTTAAATAATTTTGTTTGCACTAGTAATTCAGGGCTCGACACTAACAGCAGCCAACTAGACACAGCTCAGACTAGTAGAAATTCAGTTTTGGCTTGTGGTTTTCGATTTTCACAAGCCAGTATGGCTAGAAAACAAACTGAAATTGTTGTAACATAGGATATGTCACTAGCAACGTGGCTAGTAAGTTGAAAAGTTAGTGTTGAGCCCTGGTGATTGTCACATGATTTTTCAATATTTTCACCATCATTGTAACCATTGAAATTAATACTTTAAAATGTAAGGTTGTGTGCATGAATGACAAAAATGGTGATAAGCTTACCATTCCAGAAACTTTTGATCTGTGGGATAACCTGTATGACGCATAGCACTTATCTGGTCTGCATGGCCCTTAAAAAAACTAACAGCAATAAAGTTGTAAATACCTAAATCAGCATCTAGGACTCCAAACTTGATTTTTAAGCTGTGGTGTTCAAAGGAAGATGGGTTAGCAGAACTTTTTTAATATTGATACGTTAAACAGTAATATGTAGGGTCATACATGTATATCTAATAACAGTGATCAATACATCTTAAGTAAAAATTTAAGATGTTTGGAATAAGAACATGGGGAGGTTTAGTTTTCTAATTTCAGTTTTGAAGGACTTTATGCTGGTAAAATTCTTCAGTTTCACAATCTTGCTAATGACGGACGCTTAGAAGATTTATTGCCAGAAGTTTAGTCTGCTGCACAGATTAAAAGTGAAGAGTGGAAAAATAATGTACTTATGGCAACAGTGTTTACTATAGCATATATTGCCAAACTGGTTTTTAGGCATAGAGGTGCTGTGGAAATCAGATTGAATGTGTTTAAAACAAAGAGAGAATGATTATGTTTTTTCCCTTCCATGATTCTGTTGTGGACTTTAAAACAAACAAAAAATGAAATTGCCATCATTCATCTAATTTTAGAACCTGGAAATTAAAAGCACAGGTTTTTCATATGCTAATTACCAACCGAACCTTTCTAAATCTTCAACCCCCCATTAAAAGTAACCACTTCCTTACAAACAATCTTCAAACTAAAAAAAACGGTCTTGACAAATAACTATCAGCCTCACTTGACCCCACTTCTAACACACTTACTGTAGTAAATGGAAATTTCTTTTTTATTTCATGTAAAATACCCAAGGCCACTGACATTTACAAAGTCACTTTTTCAGAGGCTGTTGTTGCCACTCAGCTTAGCCTTTCAAATCACGTTATTATACCTCCCACACACCTGACACGCCCTTAAATCGGCTTTCGCGAGGAATCAACCCCCCTTGAGTAACAACTAGAGCAAACGTTAAGACTAAGTCTTTTCTGAAACAATCGGCGTAAAAGAGCGGTAAAATAGTTCTCCCAAGAGCATTCAATATCCAAGAAGATGAAAACTTCTTACCTCGACATAGGCGGGCTCGGAATGTGCAAGAACTTGTTTCTTTTATAGACCAGATAAGTGGCAAAACTACTTACAAGGACTAACGATAGTGAAAGCAGGGCACCAAAAAGATAAAAAAGGAGATAAAGCATCGTGTGAGGTGAATATTATTCCACTTTGTATTGTTATACGAGAAGCACCTTGATATGGCATACACTCCGAGAGTTTGCACAATGTTTATTTTATTGCGAGAAAGTCTGGGATCGAAAAACCTCCAAACCATCGCGGGGAACTGGGGTGGTACGGCAAAATTCTGTAAAATTTAGAATACTGGAATAGGAAATTTTGGAATTTACTTTTATTGTAAAGTTGGATATTCTTTTCACTGACTCTCGACCTCACTTCAGTAATGTCAATTTTTTTTAAATTCTTTTCTTCTCACGAAACTGACAGTGTGTATCAATGCAAATGTTATGATAATTTGCAGCCAACTAATTTACAGCCAACTAAGGAGAAAACTTTAATCCTTTTTCCAAGCATCACAGCCTGTGACGCTGCAAGAGGGAGAAGTACTCGTGAAGAGTAGAAGCACATGAAACTCATGAACCTGAAGTGCATTGGAACAATCACATGACAATGGGAGGTGCACCAAATATATTTTGTAGCACAACGTGGCACAACAATTTTATTCATATTTTCGTCCCATCATCGTGCAAACTTTCTAAAAAAAGTCACCCTTTCTTTTGAACTTAACGTCTATTTTACAATGACGAATACTGCATTTTAAATATATAAATTAATTCAAATACTTAACTTACTTTATTTAACAAATTTTTCACACGATAAAACGCTTCTCCTTTGCATAGAAACAAAACTAATAGCTGAACGAAGCAGCTTTAATTTCGTCGGAGCAGAGAATTTAACTGCGTTTCTTTAAGGTTACATTTTACTGCATTGCGTAATATCTTATTGGTTCCACGCGTCATCTAACTTACTGTAACCAATCAGAACACGATAATTTCTCACGCTTGGCCCTTGTTTCAGGCCTTTTCCCACTCATTGTGTCGCAAGTCATATCTTTTGGCCTCGCTTATACTGTGGTAGAATTTCTCTGATTTGTTTACTTCTCACAAAAAATTGCAACATTCCTCCATGTTGGAGAAAAATGTTTGTTAGTTCGTTTTCTTTCTCTCCATGTTCCTTCCTAGCTTCTCATTTACCAAAGTTGCGAGCACTGAACTTATACGTGACAGAAATGGCAACAAGTTTTATGTTTGCTCAAAATGCTAATTAAACGTAAATCACGCCTCGCTTTTTGCAGTTCGTGTAAAACTTGCTTTTAACACAACATAAATATTCGAAATTTTGAGCCATTTTACAATTTACATCCCTCAAGACCGACAAGTACGCGAAATTATTCCCGACGAAAATTCGTTATCTCGATTTCAGTTTGGATCGTCCAGTGATAACATTTTTATGTCAGGTACAGAATTTGCCATGTGTCGTGAAAATCTGTTGTTGGTCTGCGGTAGGCTTGCCAACTGTTGAGTTCCTAAATACTTCCGCGTGTGATTAAGACTGGGACTACTGCTTGGTCGATCAGGACTACTTCGACCCCATGAAATGGCCGAGGGAGGACTAAGACCAAAATAATTCCGCTGACTTGGAAACACGCCTAGGTGGTGTCAAAAATAATGTTAGTAATTACAATGAAACAAACATAGTATAAATACCAAAAAAGGATAACTTATCCAATAGTAATCACTGTAGAATTGGCGTAACATGCCAACTATCTTTCCATAAACGACTCCCACATGATCCAAACGAATCTTATAAGACTAAACGCAGTGAATTACCGAGTAAATAACTATTTGTATAATAAAATAAGTTGAAGAGTCCTTTTTACAGTTGTGGGCTTGGTGGCCAAGCCTTTGAACAGGAGTGAGGCTTAGGGTGACCTTGTTATGATAGAGATGTTGCTACTTTTCAAATGCAAATGTATTTACGTATGATGCACGATCCTCGCAGTAGAGAGCGCTATTTATGCAATATCGAAAATCAGACCTGAAAAAAAAATCAGGCCTGTACGGGATTCGAACCACTGACCTCTGCGAG